TCCAATGTTGTACCTTCCTTACATAACCAACCAAATTATTACCCTTGTACATTAGACTTGTCACAACCTTCCTTAGATTATTCCCAACATTCACTAGAAAACCATTTTCATGCATAAACAAGTTCTTTCATCCACTTTCTTTCTACCCTTTTTCAAAACTACTATAATTCCTCAAACCTCAATGAGTTGGTGCCACGTGCATCCTTTGGCCGCATCCTTGAGATTGGAGTTCCGGAAAACATTGGTCCTTTTAGTGAGGATGAAGATGATGCAAGACTCGAACAAGATGAAGAACATGATGGTAACATGTATGACAACAGACAACCTCAAATAGTGGGCACAACTTCAAAAACATACAGTTTCCTTGCACACATGTATAATGTTGATCTGTAGATAGATTTCACCAACCTTGAATATAGCCATACATTTGACCATGTTGACGTTCAATATGCTTTTAACACCCTTTTTAAGGGCATGACTTTCGAGACAAAGGAAGATGTCAAACATGTTTTAAGCACGTACTATGTCGAAAAAGGTTTATATTACAAGACGGAGAAATCGTCTCTAATGTTAAATTTTTGAAAGGTGTGTTCAAAAATAATGTGGTTGGAGGTGTAGAGCGACTTTCATTAACAAAAGCCAAAAATGGGAGATTTGAAGGCTATCAGATGAACATTCTTGTTCCTCCCCAATTATCACACAAGATCATGTCAACCTTGACTATGTCTTAATCAGAAAAAGTGTTCTTCCATTGGTGGAGAGTGACCCATCAATACCGATCCTAACATTAATAGCCCACATAAAAAATGCAGAAGGTTATACTATCTCTTATCAAAAAAGCATGGATGGCAAAGAAAAAAGTGATTGAAGACTTACATTATAATTGGGAACAATCATACCATGATTTACCTAGGTTGTTAAATTCCATGAAAACATATAATGGATTTGTTATTGAGAAGCAAACAAGGCCACTATACAACCAATAAGGTGAACTGGTTCGTGATTATGTTCAATTCCATCGAGTATTTTGGACTTTTAAACCTTGTATCGATGGGTTTAAATATTGCAATCCCATTTTTCAAGTTGATGGGACATTCTTGTATAGAAAATATAAAGGAACTTTCCTTGTGGCCGTGGCACAGGATGGTAACAACAAAATTTTTTGGATTGTCTTTGCCATTGTTGATGGTGAAATAGGAGAAGCATGGTCTTTCTTTCTGCTTTATCTCAAAAAACATGTTTGCACTCAAGATGGCTTTTGCTTAATCTCAAACAGGCACGAGTCAATTAAAAATGTATACTCAAGACAACATAGTGGTTGGACACCAGAAAATTCAGTGCATGTGTTTTGCATTTGGCACATCGCACAAAACTTCATGAGGCATTTCAAAAATGTAGAAAGGAAAAAGCTAATCATCAACATGGGTATGTAGTTATTTTTAATTTATTTTTGACGAGTAATTAAATATTTATTTTCATTTATTTTACTATATTTGAATGGTATTTAATTGATGAATTATTTTTGTTAAAATTCACAACTTATGGCATGACAGAGCCTAGGTTCAATTACTACTATAATATATTGAGAAGCGAACCAAATAGTGAATGTGTAATTGATTGGCTCAACATTATTCCTAGAAATCATTGGACTCTTGCATGGGACAGTGACTGACAATAGGGACACATGACAACTAACTTGGCAGAGGCAATAAACTTCATTCTTAGAAAACCATAAATTTGCCAATATGTGCAATTATGATGTCAACATACAAGAGATGTAATACATTATTCATCCAAAAAGGGAAGGAAGTCGACGTTAAACTAAGAGCCACACAAGTATATACAAAAATAATAAATAAGGTCATGACAGACACAAAATCAAAGGCAAATAATCACTATTTCCTTAAGTTTGATCGGTGTAATACACATTTTCTAGTGCTGTTAGTTGTCATTTTTACTTGAATTTCATGAATACTATAGTGTAAAATTGGCATGCTTTCATTTCCCTTATAAATTGCCCAAGGATGTGAATATTATATACAAATATGTAAATTATGTTATAGAAATACAATCCAATCAAACTATAGTAATTTTTTGGTTAATTATGGTGGTTTTACTTTTTAGGTTAAGAGAAAAGAAATCAAGATAGAGAAAATAATTGAAGTTCAAAAAGATTCATGGAAGAAAATATGTTTATCTCTATTAACTCAACAAGGCTTAAGCTATATTAGAAGGGCTTAAGCCATTTCAGGGAAATTTAAGATTACAATCTGCCAAAAAAAAGGCTTAAACCATTTCACAAAGGCTTAAACCATTTTAATTTCTTCATAGTGAAGTATTTAAAAAAAGCTTAAGCTATTTCAAAAAGGCTTAAGCCATTTTAATTTCTTCATGGTGAAGTATTTAAAAAAGGGCTTGAGTCATTCACCAATAGCTTAAGCCAATTTGTGACAGTAAATAACCCCTTATTATAAATCATAACATATAAAAGGGGCAAAAAAAATAGAAGATAGGGGAGCTTTGGAGGAAACAACACACCTAAAACATAATCTCTCTCTCTAGCCTCAAAGACAATCCAAGTTGAAGATTTTGGTGGTGATTCCGATGTTTTGAGAATGGAACGACGACAATTTCTACTAGATTCTTCTTTTTCTCTTCTTTTGTTGGTTGGCTCTCATGGAAATAAGTAGCTAATCTTTTCTTTTTGGGATTGGATGTAACCTCTTGCACCTTAATGTAACTCTTGATTTTCACATATATTTTATGATCTGTTCTACTTACTAGTGATTCATTTTTGTTCTTAATGCCTTTACATTTTGATCACTCGTATTTGGAACTTTGGTTTAGAACTCGATTAGAAAATGTTTTCTAGATCATGATTTAAAATGAATCACCTAATGTTTAAGTTGCTAGGAATAAAGCTAAAATCGTTAGTCTTTAAAGGATTTTCTTAATGCAGATTTTCCTTTATTTAAATATGCAAGGAATTGATATTTAAGGGGAAAAACTTAGAATCTCTTTACTAAGGAATTAGGATTGAGTGATTATAATCCTAGATAATATTGTAGAAGAGGAATTAACATATGTATGCTTATAAAGATTACAAAGAGGTGTAGTAGGTAAAATCCAGTCTCAAGCATCTCATATATGAATTTCTCTAATACTTATTTGCATATTTGTCACTTGTTTTAAGTTTTATTAATGTTAACTTTGAGTTTAATGAATCATATGTTGAACATGTATGAATATATTATATTTATTTATTTTTTGTTTTACTAAAGTAATTGAAAATTAATCAATCTACCTAGTCCCTAAGGAGACGACCTTACTCATCACTATTACAAGTTGACTTTGGTACACTTGCCACAGGATCAACAAGTGCAAGAAACGATTAATCCAAGGGATGGACAATCAACTAGAACTTTCACAGTTAGACTAGATGAAAAGTAATGTGATTGTGACAAATTTCAAAAGTTACACATGTCATGCTCGCATGTCATTGTTGTGTGTAAGCATGTTAACCACAATTACATACCTTATATAAATCCAATATATACGTTAGAATATGTTTCCAATGTGTATAAAGAATTATTTGAGAACTACCCAACGAATCTTATTGCCCAGATTGTGGGGAACCACAAGCATTACCCAATCCAAAAAAAGATCAGAAACAAAAAAGGTCATCCAAAATCATCTTGAATACACACCAAAATGGATATGGAGGAACCTAGATAGCCAAAAAGATGTTCCATTTGTAGAGATCCAGGTTACTCTAAGAAAAAATGTCCTTACTGTTCAGGGAGTTCAAATCAATAACCTTAAAGTGAACAACTCATACTTCCGGTTGATAGTATTCAATTATATTTCAATATGTATTTCTTTTGTAGTGTGTGTTTCCTTTAATATCATTTATTTATGATTGTTGCAAATTTATGTTATTACAGTTATTTTGGCATGTTTTAATGCAATTATTCAATTCTATTAATGCAGTTGTAAATTTAAATTGTTATTTTTTAAAATATTTCATTGCTAACATCAAATATTTAAGTTAATTATGATTCTACATTAATAATTTAAAATTAACATTATTTTAAATTAATAATAATCATTCTTAATAATATTTATAATACAAAAATTCTTAAAAATTAAATAAATATATATTATTTATAAAATAATATTGTTATAAAAGTTAATTAATTAAAATATTAAAATATCTATATCTATAATATAAAAATAAATTATTAAATTAATTAAAAATATTAAAATAGCTATATTTATTAAAGAAAAATGAAATAATTAAAATATCTATATATATTAAATAAAATTAAAATAATTAAATTAATTAAAAATAATAATATATTTATATTTAAAATTTCAATTATAATTTAAATAATTTTTTAAAAAGTTAAACAAAAAAAATTAAAAAAATAAAGTTTAAAAAACTATAAACCCAACTGAGAAATCAATTTCCGAGAAACCGATTTTTCAAAAGAGCTATACAAGATTTTGAAATTTTTTTAGTTGAGAAATTGATTGGTGATAAATCAATTTTTCATCATGCACAGTGAATTGATATATATATATATATATATATATATATATATAATGGGAAGTAGGTTATTTAAGTAAATAAAAATTAAAAATAATATATTATAAATAAAAAATAAATAAATAAAAGCCTATACATTGAGCATTAACTTTAAATGTGACAACAGAGTGAAGGAAAAACCGAAGAAAATGTTAGAAAAGAGGAAGCAACATATGGAAGAAGCAAATGAACAAATATAGAACGTGTCCACATTTTGGGAAAAGGACAAGGACAGAAAGGCCTCCAAGACAACCTCCCAAACAACCTGCTCACAAACCATACCAATGCCATCACCACTCACCAACTTTACCACTACAACCACAACCAACACCTCCTCTTTCTCTCTCTGCGTTACACTCCAACACAAACCAAACGTAACAATAACACATTACATTACATGCCACCATTATTTCCTCTCACAAAATCACTGCCATTAACCGTCAATGGCTTCTTCTAATAATTCCCTTTCTTCTCTCAACGTCGTCGGATACACGCACACTCCACCCAACAACCACCTTTCTTCGCTATCACACGTCACTCTCATAACCGTAACGGTCCTCGCCGTCGCCGTTACCGTTTCCCTAGCCTTCTATTTCCTTCTCCGTTACCGTAGCCGCTTCCTCCGCCGTTCATCTCCGTCAATCGCGGAAGTCTTCTCCTCCGCCAATCGGATATCGCCGGAGACCGCTTCGTCTTCCGTCGCCGACTCTCTCCCGACGTTCGCCTTCTCTTCCGTCACGCGGCACGGCGGCGGCGGAAGCGGCGACGGCGACTGCGCCGTGTGTCTTTCGAAGTTCGAGCAGCACGACCTCCTCCGCCTGCTACCTCTCTGCTGCCACGCCTTCCACGCCGAGTGCATCGACACGTGGCTCCGCTCGAATCTCACGTGTCCGCTCTGCCGATCCGCCGTTGTTGGATCGGAATCCGACCTCGCGAAGGTTTTCCGGTCGTCCTCCGTCGCTGGCGGCGACAGCTTCCGGCTGGAGATAGGGAACATCAGCAGCAGCCGCCGCGGTGCGGCGACGTCCGCCGGCGGCGGAGAAACGCGCGGAAGATCCTATTCCGTTGGCGCGTTCGAGTATTTCATCGACGAGGAGGCTGAGGTTGCGTTCAGTTACGCTCACCGGAGAAGCGTTTCAGGCGAGAAAGACGACGGTGATCCGGCGGAGCCTCTGCCGAGCTTGGCTGGTGAGGTAGAGCGTGGTGGAAGTAGTAATAATGATAGCAATAGCTGGTTGAAGGATTACGTTGATCGTCTTTCGAATACGATGTCGTTTCGAAGTTCTGGAAGGTTCTTCACTGGGAATAGTCGCCGAAGCGACGTCGTTGCGGGTGGAGATTACGATGTGGAAGCGAACCGTTTTGGGGATGAAATCGGTGAAGTTTTCCGATGGCTCTCGGGGGTTTAAGATGTAAATAAACGGAATATATAGTTAGTGAAGATTTAGAATTTTGAGAAGTTTTCATTGGGTTAATAGTTACATGATATACACACATCAGACATGAATTGCATTTTACGAATCACATTACCAAAGGTTAAGAATCAGTGAAATCGGTGTTAGTTGTTTTTCCTTTGTTAAGTTTTTGGTGAAAAAGAATCTTCTATTTGGGATCCTCTGGAGTTTTTAAAAATTGCGGGGTGGTGTTGTTGATCCAACGGTTGATGCGTATTTCATTGTTTATAGTTTTTACTTTAGTGCAAAATGTTTGTATAGTTTTGACTCTAGTGCAAAATAGGACCCCTTTATGACTAAGATATCATGTTAATGTTGCAGAAAACCTTCCATTTTTGTCTCATTTGAGTGATAAGAGTATAAGACTTCGAAGATAAGGCCGGTTAAAGGAAGACACCAACAAAATCTTTCTTATTTATCTTGTTATACATAACTCTTTATTTGTTTGTTTTTATCAGTTTTATAATTGTTAGAATTATAAAGAAACAGATCTTAATTAAATATGATAAATGCCAAGTTGTTAAACACACTTAATTAATATAAGATTATACAAACTACAGATTGGGATATAATTTGGTAAAAGATAGAAGTATATATTCCGGGTTAGTACATAAATTTCGTAAGAGTGAAAGAGGTATCTTTTTAACATGTAATAAATTTTTTCGTCGTGTGTACATGTTATATGTAATAAATATTTTTAATAATTATTAATGGTGAAAATGTTTCAAATTTTAAGGATATAATTTGGGATATGAATAAGTCAGACCTTAAACAGATATCTATGACATGACTCTTTTAAAGTCTAACTTGACCTATTTAATAAAAGATCAAGTTTAAATATTTAAAAAAGTATATTTATATAAAAAGGTTAGACCTAAACTTATAGAAAAATTTGTTAAGTCTAATAGATCAGCCTATTTATTTATATAATATAATAAAAATTAATATATATATATATATATATATGTGTATTATTAAAAATAAAAATAAATTATTAATATTTTATATAATTTGTTCATTATAGGTTTATAAGCTTACAACATATGCATGAGTGTACATCAATATACATGATTACACATGAATTGTTCCTTCAATAGAAAATGATTCAATTTTTTTTCTATATTTTTTTTAAATTTAAATTTTAAAAATATTGAGTAAACTATATTTTAAAAATAATTTTATTAATTTTTAAAAATTAAATTTATTGGCCTAATTAACATTAATAATTTAAATAGGTCAATAGGTTATGCCAGACTTTAAAAAGTCAGGTCAGACCTATAAAAAAAAGCCTATGATAGATAATAGACTAAGCTTAGACTTTAATTTTGCAGAATAAACATAACCTATATATTCAAAGTCTAGAGATCTATTTCCATCCTTAGATACAATCATTCAAAGGAAACTTTTCATTTTCTCATTTACTCACAACCATTAGATTTCTAAGGTATGTTTTTTTATCTCTGAAAGTTTGAAACCCTTTGGGATAATAAAGCCCTACCAGAATAACTGCTCCACTTAAGGATTTTTCTCTCTTATAAATTTGTGAATATTAACTTTTGTTGTTACCCGCCCTACATCTCTATCTCATACTCATACTCTCTTTCAAATTTCACGCCTTCTTTTTTCCTCTTTCCTTCGTCATTCTCACTCCTCTTCGTTGTGTCTTCCACTGTTGGTACTTGAAGAGCATCAATTCATCTCTTCAAACTTTGCCTATCATTCCATGTATAAAATTTTGCTCCCCCAACACATATCTCTTATTCCCATTTTAAGAACAATGAGTATGGAAGGAGAGAAAAAATTTGGTTCTTTCCCTTCTTGCACCCACTATGACCCCCTTAGGTTATCTGATCTTGAGAAATTAGATAAAGGTAAGGGTAATATTAGAGAAGAGTTTAAAGAAATATTATCTAAAAGGGTGGTCATAGGTGAAAATGAAAGTAAGAAAAGAAAAAGAGGAGGCAATAATAAAAAGATTCACATCCTCTGATTTCAATATCTGAGTATGAATGGGTGAGAGGAAATGTTGGTAAGTTCAAAAGTAGATTTGGGACTTTGCTTGATATAAGCTTACTCCGAGAAAGAGTGGCGATTTGTTCACCTTCTCTTTTTAGTTAAATATGCATTGAACCTTGCCAACTTGAAGAGCATGTATTTTTTGGAAGTTCATCTCCTCTCCCTTATACTTATATGTACCAATGTCTTTTTAAATATCTCAGAGTTTCAATTCTTTTTTCTTCTTTTGAATGTGAATTTCTAAAAAAGATTAATGTAACCCCTAGTCAATTACATCTAAATAGTTGAATTTTTTGCGTGCTTTCCAAGTTTTATGTTCATTCTTGAATCTTGAATTATACTTAGCCAAGTTTATGCATTTTTATCAACCGAAACTTGGAGAGCCACCACATGATTAGGTTTCACTAAGTGGTAGCTCTAAAGGAGGGCTTTTTCAAAATTTTACCCAATCTTATAAAAATTTGAAAGAGGAATTCTTTAAGGTCCGACCTATTTGCAATGACCCTACATTAGATAATATTTTTCATTTAGATGGAGAACCTAGATTTCCCTTCTATTAGCAATCTCAACCTTTAAAATTCAATGTTAGTAATTAAGAAAAAAAAAATCAAAACATCCAAATAATTTTAAAATTAGCCTTATAATTCAAGTAGGTTGACTAATAAATTCATCATTTATCTTTTGCATACAAATTCTACAAGTATGACCATATTATTCACATGCTTGACATTATCTCCTTTTGACTCGTGATCGATTTATTAACAACTCTAAACTGCTTTTAATTTTTCCATGTTGAGACTATTCCATGGTATCTTTTTTTCTTCCTTTAGTTTGTAATAAGAATGGATCTTCGATATGTAATTTAGGCAATCAACTTTCTTGCTCACATATCAAAGTCTGACAACTTGCCTTTGCAAGAATTTTGTCATTTTCAACATGCATTTCATGGTCCATTAGTAAAGCTTTTTTTTTTTATATGTTTGCTCCAAATCAAATGATATCATCATGTATAATTTCTCAGATTTTGCTACAAGATCAGATAATAACACTACTAGAAAAATTGTATTTTAAGTCAGTTATTTTGTCATATCTACATCGGTTCTGAAACTGACTTAGATGAGGGCGACGTAGATGAATGAACATATTTACATCGGTTACGTAAAAACTGACTTAGATATATGTGTTGATCTAAGTTGGTTTTCATAAAACAGTCTTAGATGTATATGTTGATCTAAGTCGGTTTGTATTGAGAGCTGACTTAGATGTATACATACATCTAAGTCGATTTTTGTTAAGAACCGACTTAGATGTATACATACATCTAAGTCAATTTTTATTAAGAATCGACTTAGATGTATACATACATCTAAGTCAGTTTTTACGTAGAACCGCCGTAGATTATATTTTTTTTAACCAGGTTAATTTTTAAAATAAGACTGACTCAACTATAAATAACCTGTAAAAACTGATTCAATAAAACTAATCCAATCCAATGTAAGAGAAGCCACATCAAAATCCAACATGAACCAAGAGAGGTCAATCTGGGATCCTTATCATTATAGGAATGGCTTAGTTACATCATTGTCATTACATAATAAATAATAATAAATAAAACATATACTCAAAAACCAATAAAGGTCAACCTGGGATCCATAAAGAAGAGTTTTTTCTTACAAGGAGAAGAGAAACTAAAAAAAAAATAGGTCATACTACATTAGACATGTACTTAGTCATCTAATGCTAAAGCCACATTCACCTATTTCTAAAGTTTACACGTCATACTAAACATTTCAACATGATTTATTTCTAAATTTTTCTAGAAAGAAATTTCTCCAATGAATCCGAATGTCTTCCAATTTGGTTTCCTCCAATGGTCTAGCATCTTCAAAAAGCTGCAACATATATACATCATATATTAGTTACATCATAATAAGCATTAAAAGAAATTAACAATATTTTTAAATGTACCTCACTCCAACCATTTGTTACTCCTCCTTCAATTATTTATTTCTGACATCCAATTCATGACATAGTATCCACATTCATAATGTCCTTGTTGTTTATAACTCTAAAATGAATACCAAATTAAGTAGTATAAGTATTTTTTTTTAATTAAGGTAATAAAAGACATTTGTTAGGTATATTGACTTTAATTACAAATCACTTACTTACCATGGGGTAAATCCATTCTAAGTTCTTTGATAGTGCAGTAGATTTACCATTCATGACATTATACACATCCATAACACTAAAAAAAACAAAATGAACGTAAGTTAGATGATTAAAATTTTATAATAAAGAGCATAAAATTAAAATGTGTTGCAAATTAAAGTTTACCTTTTGACTAAATGTTTGACATGCATAGTGGGCTTATGATGCAAAGAACAAAACCATACAGCAACATTACTTATAGGACAAAGAACCAATAGTTTCCAATGATTTCTGCATTGATCCAAAATTAGTTAAACAATACATATATAAATTACATAAATTAAATGCAATAAGAAACATGCACTTACTGATCAATGTAAGGAGCCAAGTAAATTTGCTTCTGGGAGTTCTTTATCCTATCACTGGTATAACTTATAGCCTTCTCTTTCTTATTCCCTAATTTTTGTGTGTACTGGGGCTCCAAAAATCCATACAAGTCATCATAGCCATGCTCTTCAATTTTTTGATTTAGATAACTAAAATTTATAAAAAAAAATATTTATGAATGAATCATAATTAATTAAATAAATATTGATACTAATAATAATTGTGTACTTACAACATCCAAAATTGTATGATTGAGATGTTAAGCATTTGACGTTCTATTAATTCACGTATATCATCGAATGTAATATAGAACACAAAATCACCAGCACCGACACCAAATAGACTTCCAAGATATATCACCTGAAATGGTCAAGTTGGATAAGTAACCAACCTAAAACAAAAAAAAATGTTAAATGGTCTTTAATTATATAAATAAGACAAAGTCACCTTAAATGGGTTTCCATAAGTTAAGGTCAATGATGCCTCACGCAAATCACATATAGGATCATTTCTGGGTTTGGACCTATGAATTATTGGAATATCCTGTGTTTGCTTAGATGATGAAATATGTCTCACAAGACGTCTCGGCCATGAAATGAGTCTGTAAGGCCTGTCTAACCAGCTGAACCTCTGAAGTAGGCACAAGAACATGAGCATCAAAATCTCGAACAAACTCAACAACCACATTGACCAAATCTACTGTTAAAGGTACATGGTGAATGG